GCAAACTCATCTACAAAACCGGAAACCTATATAAGACTTCGCTCATGCCAGCGCTACCCAAAATAAACGTGTTTGTTTTGTTTTAGGTAAAATTACCCATGAGTGAGTAATTGTCATCCATCCCTATTCGAGAGCCAGTATGATGGTTATCCCGCGAGAACAAATCGAAAAGTTTCACATTAAATATCAACACATATCCGCCTCTGCTGATCATTAGCCTCCTCACCCTCACAACTCATTCCCATGCGAAAAAGTTTCACCACTTCTCCAAAATGGGTCTGCTCCTGAGACGTGCATTCAAATGCTTACGGAAATTGCTTCAACTACTTGGGTTACAGGCAAATGTTGGGAATTTTGCAACAGTAGCAGGGTGCTGCAGTTAACGGAAACACTGGAGCAGGTGCCCTTAGCGCTAACTACAACGAACAAGGCCCAGCCGTCCCAACAGGAAACTGAAAAACGCGCCACCGATTGTCGCCAGTCCAGCAATCGCGGACGTGCATCTCCGTCGCTTTCCACCTCTCTTCTGACTTTGTTGGACTATTATATATTTGCCGATTTGCCTGCCGGCCGTTGGATATATTAACCGCCTTTTGCTTCTTGAAGAGATATTAAACGACGTTTTATAGTTGCTACTATTTTGCCAGTGGCAAATCCACCCTGCTGTCAGCAAATCAACATCAATACATTTACACATCTTTTTTTGTTTTGTTTTCCTTTCTGGTTTCATAGTAGAATCTTTCAATGTTAAGGAAAGTAAAAAAAAAAAATTGTGTCTCGTACAGTTAAAGAGTGGAAACTGAAGTTGATCAAATATGGCATTCTTTTTTAGTAATTTGTATCAATTATGCCTGAATTTCGATGGTGGATCATGAAAGAATGGTTTTTTTTTGTATCAATAGAATGACTCATTTTCGTTGGTGGATGTCTATTTTCTTGCGGATATTAAATTAATGAAGGGTGAGTTATATTCATGGCAATTATCATAGTTGGTTGATATAAAGGAGTGGAATTTTGGTTTAAGCGCATACCAGGCACGACTTGGTGAACCATCACAATAATATTTTGGTTAATGGCTAACAAAATATGAGAATTGTGGTTAGTGACGCTCATAGAGTAGTAAAACATCTTGGTACTATAATCATGAGAGGTGTTATGATAACCAATTGAATGAAAATTGTGATTCTATGTAGAAGCAGTTTGGTGATCTAGAAGCGTATAAATGTAAGTTTTTAAGATTAGGAATGTAGATTTTGACGATAAGTGTAAGTGAAAAGCGCGGTTCTACGTAAAATCGTTTTGGTGACCCACAAGAATAAAACCATAAATTTTAAAATTTTAAAGCGCGATTTTGACTACATAGATGACAATCAATGTAGTCAAAAGCACGTTTCTACGTAGAAGCGTTTTGGTGATCTAGAAGCGTAAAACCGTAAGTTTTTAAGCTTTAAAGCGTAGTTTTTAACTACATTAGTTATAAAAATGGAGATTATGCGTAGAAGTGTTTTGGTGACCTAAAAGCGTAAACCGGTAAGTTTTTAAGCTTTAAAACACAATTTTGACTACATTGATGACAACTACTATACATATTAGTTACTCACCCTGACCTTCTCCCATTTTTATACATATTAGTTACTTGCCATCATTTATAATGTTTCTCGTCTGTTTCATGAGATTTCTGGTGTGATGTTTGGTCTTTATGGTTTGCTTAATGAGAGTTCTGGTGTGGATGCATATATATCAGGTGTATCTCAAGGAACTTGTGGTATGCTTTATGAGGTTTATAGTATGCTTTAGGGAATTTGTGTATACCTTATGAGGTTTCTGGCATGCTTCAGGGAACTTGTGGTTTGCTCTATGAGATTTATGGTATGCTTGAATAAACTTGTGGTATGTTATATGAGGTTACGGTTTGCTTTGAGAAACTTATGGTAAGCTTTGAGTTTTATGGTATGCTTTATGAATTTTATTTATGGTAAGCTTTGAGTTTTATGGTTTACTTTATGAATTTTGTTGATGATATTCTGGTATGCTTTATAACCTTTTGGTATACTTTGTGTTATTTTTATGTGGTTTATTGTGTTTCTTATTTAATTCATGATACTTGTGGTGAGGCGGGACACATAATAAATTAGTAGCACCACAAGCGTGTGCCCCCTATAATATTTAAACATGACAAACGTGCCCCTTCACAATAATGTCGCAATCTTGCATAATCCTTCCCGTTAAAGAGTCACACTCTAGAAAAATGTCGGAAAATATAGCAAAGTTCTCAATTGACAAGCCTTGTCTAGCTGTAGCAACCCTACTACATCCGACAATGCTCCTCCAACTTGACAGATAGAAAAAGGTAGTCCAATGTCTCCAACGCTGGCTAACAACCTTTGTCAAGGACGGATCGAGATAATCAACAATGCAAGAAATAAAATGATAGCAAGAAAGTAAAGAACACATAGACTTTTTGTGGTTCACTAACACAATGTGTGTTAGTTAGTCCACGGGCGGGAGCAATCCAACTGCATTATACTTGAGGAGATTACATATTAAAAAGGAATTAAGAAGTATATATAGTACTTCTCCAAACGACCTAACCCTAATCCAATATGGTAAAGAATAAGGTTACAAACCAAGCCCGAAACATTAACCCAGACGTGCATAAGACCATACACTGTGGATCAGGGGTGTTTCTACCCGATCCCCCTAACCAGACACTTTTCCCCTGGACCTTGAATCGTTGATCAGGCAGCGAGACCCTTGTGACTTTTACTCGATGGAAGATAATCTGATTCGTCATATCAACAAATCTCCACCTTGACTTGAATCCTCTCTCTAAACCTCTAATGTACTCTAACCGTCTCTCTCCCACCGCAATGCCCCTGAGGTTGGATGCGCCCTCTCAGGATATTCAACAAGTCCAAACAATGTTGGAACTTGCCATGTTCGTGAGCATATTAACACGGTTGCCCGGAGTACCCACTTTCTTCACCTTAATTGTCTTTTATGTTCTTCAGAAATTATACCTCACATTAATTTGCTTAGTTCTCTCATGATGGACTTGATTCTTGGCCAAGCATATTAGACTCAAACTGTTACAATACACGATTGCCTGATCCTGATGTAGACACAAACCACTAACCAACCCCTTTAACCATATTCCTCCTTGGCAGTATCTGTTAGTGCCATGTACTATGCCACAGTAGTAGACAATGTAAACATAGACTACAGAGTCACCTTCCAGCTAACCACCATAGAACCTCCAAGAGTGAATACTTAGCCAGTCATAGATCTCTATCTTCATGCCAACATCTGCAACATAATCTAAATCTTAAATAACCAACCACTAAGCACTCTATATTACATCCAAAACTGATTTTACATCAGATGTACCCTTCATGTATAAAAAAATCCCCTTCACAGCCTTCCAATATTTGTACCCAGGTTGCACCATGAACCTGCTGAAAATACTAACAACATGTGCATGATTAGGTCTAGTGTAGACTATAACGTACATCAGATTGCCTATTGCACTACAATATAGAACTCGGGACGTACTCCTTCTCAGATTCGGATTGTGGTGCATAAACTGAGGATAAATGAATATTCAAATCACTGGGAGTATTTAAGAGCTTTGATGAAGATATGTCAAACCTTTATAGCCGATATAACTTTTCTGTGACAAGAAAAGCTTCTTCTGGTCATTTCCCCTATAATCCATAACCAAAATCTTTTGAGCAGCTCTCGAATCCTTCAGCTCAAACGCAAAACTGAGAAGACCCTTTAACGTCTAGATATTACACTTTAACTTCATTGCAATGAGCATATAATATACATAGAGAACTAGATAAATCATCGATCCATCATCCTTGCTATGATTTACACATTAATCATATGGACTTCTGTTGTAGCCTAACACAAGCATATAGATGTCAAACCTCTTATACCATTGCCTCAAAGAATGCTTAAGTCCATACAAGGACTTCTTCAACATACAAATATAACCTTCTTTTTTCTGGAAACAAGAACCCATCTGGCTGAGTTATGTAAATCTCTTCTTTTAGCTCTCTATATAAAAAAGCTTCATGTCTAGTTGCTCAAGCTCCCGTAAAAATCTTTGAACCTCAAAGTTAAAAACAAAAGCAAAAGTGTTCTCAGCACGTTCTCCACTAGTGTCCACGTCAACAAGACAAATGTCGCTAGTTTGTCAAGCGACATACCATATGTCGCCAATCTAAGTAACGATATTTGCCTCCTCCTGCCATGTCAACAAAAACACCGCTGTATTGGACACTAATTGTGAAGTCCCGATATTTTGATAATTTTCTTTTTAAAAATGTTTATTTTGAGAAGAAAAAAAATCCAGCTTTCTTGTTGTTGGTTTGATAGTAGTCCTTGATGGCTTTGAATATCTGACAAAGCCCATTGGCTCCATCAAACTCTCTCCACCAGAACATCAACATCAAACCTCCACAATAAGGAAAGACTTGTTCTGTTTGGCTAAGTACACCTTATTCGTAAACTTTAAAAATCAGAGGCTCTCTTGTCCTTTGGAATATTAGAGCTCAAAACGGACGATAACCAAATCATTCAACCCAAACCCAAAAAATGAGTAAAATGGTCTATATATGATTGGTGAGAGAGACGAATATTTTTACAATAATCTAAGGGGCAGCACCGTAAAAAAACAACTAGAGAATGAAGTCATACTCGATGGCTTGTAGCAAGAGTTCCACATATATAAAATAAATCAAAGCACTGGAAACTCTTAACCATTAGCAGCTCATCTATTCTGTAAAGCAAGCTTCCAAAACTCCATCTCCAATAAACCTTCCTTTTTTTTTAATTAGAAAAATCTGCACTGTCTCTAGCTCCAGCCCTTTATATATGCAGCTCGAAACTCCTTCTCTCCAATTTTAAATATGAAATCCTCGCTACATTTCTACAAGCTGGGTGGTAGCTAGGCAAAAAAACAGAGTCCACCAACTCCAAGCACTGCCATGGCTATGGCGGCCATCAATGGCTTCCACCACCATGACCTGCACCTCGACCTCTCCAGCCACAGCAGCAGCACCACCACCACCGATGACTTCTCCCACTGGAGCCAAGGCTGGTCCCCCGTCGTCGACTGGGAAGTCCTGTCCGGCCACCACCGCGACGATTTCCACGACCTTCTAGCCGGAGCCACCGCCGCCGTTGATGCAGAGGAGGAGGGTTTCAACAATTACAGCCCCACCACCACAACCAACTCCGGCGACACCTCGACGACGGCGGCGATGGTGATCGATCACGAAGAGCAAGAAGAAGGAGAAGAAGATCAGGTGGAAGAGGAACAGGACTCGAAAGGGCTGAGATTGGTCCACCTCCTGATGGCGGCGGCGGAGTCCCTCACCGACGGCCCGACGAGATCCCCCGATCTCGCCCGCGTGATATTGGTTCGGCTCAGGGAACTGGTTTCCCCTCACCACGGCTCCAACATGGAGCGATTGGCTGCTCAATTCACCGACGCCTTGCACTACCTGCTCGACGGCGGCGGCGACGGCGGCGGCGGAAGCAAGAATCGGCAGCAATTGACCCCCAATTGCCACCGGGACGAGCACCAGCCGGCGGATGTCCTGGCGGCGTTCCAATTGCTGCAGGACATGTCGCCGTACGTCAAATTCGGGCACTTCACCGCCAATCAGGCGATCCTCGAGGCGGTGGCCCAGGAGCGGCGGATCCACATCGTGGATTACGACATCATGGAAGGGATCCAGTGGGCCTCGCTGATGCAGGCCCTGGCGTCCAGAAAAGGAGGCCCACCGACCCCTCACCTCCGGATCACGGCCCTGTCCCGGGGCGGGAGCGGGGCCCACCGGAGGATGTCGATCGGGACCGTGCAGGAGACCGGCCGGCGGCTCGTCGCCTTCGCGGCGTCGATCGGGCAGCCGTTCTCGTTCCACCAGTGCCGGCTCGACTCCGACGAGACGTTCCGGCCGTCGGCGGTGAAGGTCGTGAGAGGGGAGGCGTTGGTGATGAACTGTATGCTCCACTTGCCTCACTTCACGAACCGGGCGCCCGAATCCGTCGCGTCGTTTCTGAACGGGTCGGGTTGCTTGAACCCGAGGCTGGTAACCGTGGTGGAGGAGGAGGTGGGGGCCACGGAGGAAACCGGTTCGGGTGGAGGCCGTGGGTTTATGGGTCGGTTCATGGATACCCTGCACCACTACTCCGCTTTGTACGACTCGCTGGAGGCCGGGTTTCCGATGCAGGGCCGGGCGAGGGCGCTGGTGGAGCGGGTGTTTTTGGGCCCAAGGATAGTGGGCTCGGTGGGCCGGATTTACAGGACCCGGGGGAGGGGAGAGGACGGTGAAAGCGGGACGTCGTGGTGGGAATGGTTGGGTGCGAACGGGTTTAGGAGAGAGGGCGTGAGCTTTGCGAATCATTGTCAGGCGAAGTTGTTGCTTGGATTGTTCAACGACGGGTACAGGGTGGAGGAATTGGGGTGCAACCGGTTGGTTCTGGGTTGGAAGTCAAGGCGCTTGCTCTCTGCTTCCATTTGGACTCCGCCGCCGGCGCTTTCGGATTCCGATTGAATTGAACGGCAGCAACATTTTTACGCTCCTCTCTATTTCATCCTTGCTCTTTTCATTTATGTCTATTATCATCCTTCTTCTTTCGTTCTCTTGGTTTCTTGTTTCTCTTTTTAATTTTTATCTTCCTAGTTTTTTGGGGAAATGTGTAAGAATATGTAAAACTGAAAACTACTCATTTGTTCATAATGTCAGCGTTGAGTTAGTGATGAGTTAATTACCAACTTACGATTTGGTAATCCACAAGATAATATCTCTATTTTGTTTCAAGTATGGGATTTGTAATAAAATAATCTTACATATATTTTGTTAAATACTCAAGTGGTTATTTTCATATCATCACTGTTTTCGTTTGTTACTTGATTATAATGTAAGGAAATTATATTTAAACTCATTTTCCTCGTCAAGGGATACACAATGGAAGATTGAAAAGTAATATAATATGATAAAGCATGGAAAAGTGTATTGAATAGAGCAGTCGCTAGCCAGTACCTCATAAGAAGAAGAAAAAATGACAGAGGAAAACTTATTCTAACTCAAGTAAGGAGTATATATAAACCTATTGAAAGGACTTATACAGTTATACTCATGTTTGTTACCCCTTACTTGAAGTGGTACCGATAAATTATTGCTACATCTAGTAGAAGATATTGTCCTTGAAAGATTTCTCAGACGAGAAATTAAATAACACAAGACACGATATTTACGTGGTTCTTCTCATTCATTGTGAATGAGCTTACTTCATAGATAAGTTTAGCTCTCTCGAGTTTTTTTCCTTATTGTGTGGCAGCCGAATGCAAGGAGAACATACATACCTTATGACTTTGGACGTAGCTAGGGTTACACATCAGTAAGAGGAAAAGACTCCTATAACCTTCCATGCAAATGACTGCGTACAATGGTATACATTATATATCTTATTCACTCACAAGCTGAAGCATGGAGGTTACAAATATCCAACTTGAGTAACAACTCCTCGAAATGATCACCAGCAAGTCTGTTTGTGAACAAATCGGTTGGTCGTGAGTGGAAACCTTCTGAGGATAAATTTCTTTGGATGTGACATGCTCATGAATGAGATAACAATCCATTTCTACATGCTTTGTGCGCTCATGGAACACATGATTAGCTACAGTGGCGGGTCCAGGAATTCTACGTAGGGGTGTCCTCTATAAAAAATTAAATTAAATTAAATATTAGTTTTAAATTATATAATTATTAAATATGAAAATATCTAACTAATAAAAGTTTCTTTAAAATTTCAGACGTGTTTCATCAAATGATAAAATGCATTCGGTGTTTATACTGCTCAACAAATATCTCTCTACATATCTTACTAGACAAGGATATCCTGTAATTGAGTTTAATCGTTAGGTTTTGAAAATAATTTGCGATAAGAATAACATTTTACTATTATATTTGGATCTAAAACACAATAACAAATGAGTTGTAGCGTAATTGAAAATATATTAACTAATAGTGATAGTGTCCCAAATTTAAATCACATAAACTACTACTTAAATATTATTTATACCAATACGCAAACTACTACGGGAGATTGGATAATCATTTTCCCAAATTTTAAAGGTGTCCCACACTTCCAGTTAAACATTTTTTTCTCATACGCAAATTACTATCGTAGGTTGAATAATCGTGTTTCCAAATTTTAGGGGTGTCCCGGGACACCCCTAACCATGCATGTATCCGCCACTGATTAGCTACAATATGGAGGGCAACCTAATTATCACAACAAGGACCATAACAACATCGGACGAAACTCCCAAATCCCTAAGAAGAGTATCGAGCCAAATAACTTCACTAATGGCGCTGGACATGGCTCAGTACTTCGCTTTGTAGAGGAACGAGCAACCAAGACCTCACCCGAAGTGACAAAGTACCCAGAGGTGAACCGACGAGACTACTGACAGCCTCTCCAATCTGCATCCAGTAGGCTATGTGACATCAATTATCTGTAGAAGAAAGAAGAATACCTTGACTAGGAGCAGTCTTCAAATAGCGTAGAACACGTTTGGTTCTTGCTAAATGTGTCGGGGTAGGAGCATGGACATAGCGACTGAGTATGTTGACAGCATAGACAATATCAGGATGTGCCATGGTAAGATACTAAAGACGTCCAATCAACTGACAATACTCGACATCGCTAGCTTTATAAACACAAGAAGATTCGCCATCCGGTGGCCGAGTAAGATGGTGATGCTGCTCTATAGTAAAATAACTAGGAAGAACACCCAAAATTATGTTATCACGCAAGAGGTTGAGTGTGTACTTCCTTTCGCAAAGCACGATGTCATCTCGAGATCGAGCGACCTCAATGCCTAAGAAATACTTGAGGGGTCTCAAGTTCTGAATTCCAAATTGACATTGAAGTATATCCTTTCATGTTGAATAAAATCCATATAATTTCTTGCCAGGATCACATCATCCACGTAGGAGTACTATGTCGTGACCGCCGAAACCCAATGTCAACGAGAGTGGATTTAAATTTTCACATACCAATTACGCGATTCTTCCTTGAGGTCATAGATAAACTTGTGCAAATGACAAACCCATGAATCGCCAGGTGTTGCAAACCTAGGAGGGATATGCATATAAACTTTGTCCTGGAGGTCACCATGAAGAAACGCTTTATAGACATCCAGTTGATGTACCACGCAACCATGAACATCTGCAACTGCAAGGAGACAATGAATGCTCACCCAAAAATTGAATGAGGCAAAGATCGATAGAGTTCAATACTACCATCCACCGAACAAGGAGACTGCGACGTAAACCCTCCATCGACTACTCAAAAATAAGTAAATGAGGCAAAGTCAGAGGATTGTGCGCAGAAGAAGGGGACACCATGAAAAAGTACCTGGAATAGCCGATGTTGTAGGTGATTTATCATCGTGGAAAGGGAGCGAGCTTGACAAGAGAAGTGGAGCATCCAAGTCTTCCTCCTAAGCTAGAACAGTATGTGAGATGGCAGGGGTAATTTCTTTTGTGAGAGAGTCAGATGATGGTTCGTGAAAGGGAAAAACACCCTCGATAAAAATCACATGACGACAAGTGTAGAATGCACCCTTGGCTAAATCATACAACCGATATCCTTTCTAAAATGAAGGATACCCCATTAAAACTGAACAATGACAACGCTTGCCGAACTTGGAGCCTCCTTTGTGCGTATCTTTACCATAAGCTAAACAACCAAAATTCCAGAGATGCTTATTGGAGGGTATTTTCCGAGTATCACTTCATATAGAGTGTGATTCTGAAGAACTTTGGCTGGTAGCCGTATGATCAGGTATGTAGCCATCATGATGCACTCATCTAAAATCCTAACACAAGATTAGCTCGAAATCGCAAAGCCCGAGCTGTCTCTAAAAAATGATCGTGCTTGAACTCGACCACCCCTTTATATTGGGGTGGGGAGCGGTTACGGTGAGTACTTTTTTATAGTAATCACCGTGGTTACTAAGGGTAAATTGGGTATGGAAAAATAAATTATATTAATTAATTAAATTAATAAATTACATTTTAGGTAGTTACAAAAATCTATTAATTACAATTCTTTCTCTTTCTCTCACTTCCATAATCTCCAGCAAGATCTCCTTTCCATATTTTTCTCAAACTTTCTGCAAAAGAAAAAACATGAAATCACTACCAATCCATTAGAAAACCACTACCATTTTGAAAAACATCAATACCATTGCAGAAATAAATCTATACCATTATACGAAAACTACCAATATAAATAATCTATACCATTACAAAAGTCAAACAAATACCAATACAACAAATACCACTACTACTGTGGAATGAAAACAATACAATTGCATAAATAAATCAATACAAACACTACCAAAACAAATACAGACAAACTACCAAAGCATAATGCAAACACTACCAAACCAAATGCAGATAACTACCAAAAAACATAATGCTTCATCTAACCAACACAAATGCAGGTAACTACCAAAGCGTAATGCATACACTACCAAAGAAAATGCAGGTAACCACCAAAGCATAATGCAAACACTACTAAAGCACAATGCAAACACTAACATAATAAAATGCAAGGTAGCTACCAAAACAAATCCTCTACCAATGCAAACACTACCATTCCAGATTACCTACAGAAGCAAAGCTGAACGCTCTTCGGGAAACTGTATTTGATCTCTCTTATTGGGTTCCCGTTTCTGACCACGACCTCGACGGGCGATCCATGGTCGGAACCCAATGCCGCCGTCAGCAATGTCGGAGGTAGATTCAAAAGTGGCGAGGCAATGAAGGGAGGGAGATTGGGGGGGGGGGGGGCTAGGGATGGAGGGAGGGGGAGGGGAGGTTAGGCGAGAATGGAGGGGAATGGAGGAGGGAGGTGGAGGAGGGTTGGCCTGCCGGCCAATGATAGAGGGGGTTCTCGGGAGGGGGGGATTTTGGGAGGGAGGGCGGACGGCGGGAAGTAGTGGGGGAGGGAGTGTGGTGGTAGGCGGCGGATTACGTTAGGGTTAGGGTTTGATATAATTTATAGAGTAATCAGGTGTGATATATTTTTTATTTCCAAAATTACCCTAATATAATCTTCATCGTTAATTTAAAAATAGAATAAAAAAGAAATAATGAATGGTTTAGATTAAGGTAGCCACCGTGATTACTAAAAATTAAGTAACCACGCTAACTCATCCCTATTGGGGTGTATCAGTGCACGATGTTTGAAGCAGGTTCCTTCGATGTTTGAATTCGAGCTACCTGCTTCCCAAAGTTAGTAGTGGCCATGTTTGTGAACATTTTAAGTACCCTTCCACCTTCGACTTGTAACTCATTAGATAGACCCAAATGGCTCTACTAAAATCATCGATAATTTGTAAGGAAATATCGGGCTGTGAGTGAGTCTGCTGACCAAAAGAAGGTTGCACTTAAGAAAAGGAATGATTAATACATGACTGAGCTTCATTCAATTGGCTTCCCTACTTGGTATATAGCCTTATGCTTCCCTTGAATTC